AGAGAGCCCGGAGCACCCGGAGGCAAAGCCGAAGCGGCAGTGGGGTGCCGCGCTTCTGAGGCTTTGCTCTGGCAAAGCCTCAGAGGCGCGGGACCCCGCTGCCTCCCCGGCTTTGCTCCAGGTGTCCCTGGTCTGCTGGAGACGGTCCCCAGCAGACCTGGGGCACCAGGAGCAGCTTTTCTCGCCCCGGAGGTCGAGGTGGCGGGACCGCTGCGCTCTGGGCGGTCCCGCTGCCTGCGAGCTCGGGGGCGAGAAAGCCCCGTTCGTAAGTGCGGATCCGACATAACTCGGGGACTGCCTGTATACCTATCAAGATACCACAGTGGTGACTTCTGACAACTACACCAACATTGCTCAGGTCATTTAGGAGGAGCTCATGGTAGGAAGCTGGGAGAGCGTGGAGTGTAGGAGTCTGGATTGGAGGTGAGGAGGGACTGTGGGCAGAGGGATTCTGTGTAGGAGGGTGTGAGAGATGGAATAGGGAACCCCTTCCTTCCCCTCCTCCCCCAATTTGTATCAGGGCTGCTTGCTCTTTCCCCTTCCTGTCAGGGAGTGAGTGCCAAGTGCACAGCTCAAAGTCTGCCCAGAGAACTCCCTAGCCCGAGGGAGGAATATAGCAAATTACACTTTCCCCTTGCCCTCTGACAAAGGGGATCAACCAGCAATTTCCCCTGTACAAACCTGGGGGGAAGCTTCAGTCCCTGTGCTCTCCCTAAAGTGTGTGCCCTTAGCCAGGCCCTTTCACCTGCCTGGTGATTCTCTTTTCTATATGGTTTTATAAGAAGCAATCCCATTCCAGGCACATCCCATTTTCCTGGCACAACCAAATCCTTATGTTGCTTTATTTTATAAGAGGAAGCTGTGTTCCACATTGGGTGATCCTAACTCTTACCTGTAGAAGGTTCTTGAATAAACTCAAATATATAGAAGACTTCTAGCACTTGAACATCAGAAGTTTCTTCGCTCTTCTCAGGATTACTAAGAATTTCTCAGTGTGTTAGATCAGTGTGAGGTGTAGATCTATTATACCTTTTTAAAGCCTAACAATGCAATGCATGGTAAATCAATTAAATTTCTGTACAGGCACACACAGCTGTACACACACAAAAATCTTCTGGCCAGATGACTTTGAAATGTGTCCTTCAATCTGCTTGTTCATCTCAGGACAGACATAGTACTGTGCCTTTTTGGTAGCCAAGACAAACCATTTTTTTCTAATATTTTCTCTTCCTATGTAAAGCCTGGCACTCTGGATTATCATCACTTAAACCCGGGGCAATGAAAACGAGGTCACTTGTTTGAACTTATCCCAATATTGTACGTGGGGAATAGTCTTAAAAGTCACTAGCGCAGAACTGCTTGGGTGCCAGGTAGCAGCTGGTGCCTCAGACCAATGGTGGTTGGTGTCATTTCACTAAATTTTAAAGAGCCCAACCCAGGAAAGTGCCAAGGCGGGGACGAGGAGGCCGTAATGACCCCGAGCTACCACCTCCCAGCGCCCAGGCTTGCTCTGTTACCAACGTTCGCTCTGGGCCCACTCCAGGGCAAGGGTGTGTGACCTCTGCTGGGTGGGATGCAGGGCTGCTTCAGGAAAGAGTCCGGTTCACCCAAGCGGAGGCAGATGCCTGGCAAAGCACCTGAACCCGAGCAGCTGCTCCCACCGAGACCCTTTCTCCTCCGTGGGGAGGGGAGGCCACTTGCCAGCCAGGACATACCCCGCCACCCAGACTACCTCCAGGGCCGGGATAGGGTTGCCAGATGGTTGAAACAAAAATAATGAACACACCCCCCCCCCTTCAGAAAAATGGGAAAAAATTCTGTTGAAGGGAAAAATGGGGGGGGGGGGAGAGACCAAAGTTGTGGAGCAAAAAAAAAAGATTCCAATGACTTAAGAAAAAAAATCATTAAAACAGCATGTCCCCTTTAAGAGTGAGTGCAGGGAGAGGAAGAGGGGACTAGTTGAGCACTAAGACCCAGGGGAAGCCTGGCTTTCCCCTAGGTCTTTTGGCCAGCAGCCATTTTGTGGAGGCAGCCTTGGTGACCCAGGTAGGCATGGGGGCTAGGGCAGGGAGGCCGGGCACTGAGTGTTTCTAGGGTTGCCAGGTGCCCGGATTTTTCTCCTCCTGCCAGGGAAACATTGAGAGAATACTGGACAGCTCAAGTGTCCGCTATTCAATCAATTTTTTTACCGGACAGGAGCCAAAAATACCGGACTGTCCGGGTCAATACCGGACACCTGGCAAGCCAGGGGAAGGGTGTTGGCACCTTAACAGTCCCTTTGCCGCGCGCGCGCTTCCCCGCGAGCTCAGGGACACCCCTGCGACCTGGGCCGAGCGCGTGCCCGACTCCCCCCCCCCCGGTAGCCGCGGCCGGGC